TGTATTTAACACGACGGACAAATAATACCGTATTTTTACATAACATATACCGTGGGTACGCTCCCCGCATAGATCGACTCGTAGAAAAAATCCTGCTATCAAGATATCTCCTGTTGTTTGTAATCAGACGACTGAGATGGACAAAACGACCTGTTGAAATCTCCCCCGTTTATCTCAGCCGCTGGGCGAGTGTGAACGGTGTGCAACGGTTGACCGAAGGATGGAAATTGGACAAGCGGCCCAGTCCACTTCGCCCTGTCAACACCTGACCCTGCCTAGCAGATTTCACCAGGCAGGACCAGACGCGGACATGGCAATGCCTATTTCAAAGACATTTTTGTGGTACATTCCAGTTGTCCAAGTGAGACCACCTAGCTGCTGTTCTGCATGGCGTCAGGACTGCAGTCACCTTATCCTCCGAACGCTTGCCACCCAGCGTTACATCAACACAGGTCTACTCCATGCCTATTCGTTTGTGCTTTAAGTCATGTTATTAAGAGTGCACCTTTTTCGTCAAGGTAAAGCGAGGTCCACAAGTCGAATCTCAATCCCAGTTTCGCAATGGGAACTGAAAATGCAGTTAAACCTTTTTTTGCTTCTATATATTTTTCAACGGGAGTAATTATAGAACGCAATAACTGTGGTCAAGGTCAAGCCGTTGGTTATAAATTTGAAGATAAGTGGAGGATATTATTTTTAGTGGATTTTCTGTGAGACCTATCGATTTTAGTACCTGTTTTTTGGCTGAATTTCCTTAAATACAGGCCTCTTCTCACAGAACTGCCTGCTGCCATCTCCTTTTGAGTTCTGCTAGTCTATGCCCGTTGTTCACTAATCGCACTCTGCAATTCTCATTTTGTGCATCCGATTTCTCTCTAACTGTTGTAATTTATTTTTACATCGTTAGCCCCTAGCTGAAATTCAGTCAACTTGTCTGCCAGAAGTTTTCTTAGTCACAAGTTGCCTCGAGACGAGATGAGACCAAATGTCACTGGACGACGTAAGCTCTCGGCTTCTGTTAGTAAGCATGGCCTAACTAAACGTAAGTCAGAAGATTTACCTAAATCTAAGTCAGATGATATTACTAGTCAGTCGTCACCCGTTGTAATTGGTCGGCAGCTTGATCTGTCTGCACTTGACCACTGCAATGACTTTATGCTAAAGTCTGGCTCTTTGCTTACAATTCTTGGACATTTATTCGACGGGAACATCTCCGATATTCCCTCTGAAGAATGTAGGCGTCTCGACTCACTTGTTCACCTGATCGCCAGTGAATCTAGTGATAGACAGAAGCGTTCTTACAACTGTCTGCTAAAAAATGTTCCTCGATCTGCTCGGCCAATTGATGTTGCGACCAATTTCCTGTATTCCTGTGGTTTCAACTACAAAATAGCCGATGCCAAACGCTTGTCCTCCCGTAGTACAAATCCACCCATCTTAGTCAAATTATTTTCATCAATCGAGGTTGACACAATCTTTGCCCATCGAGAGCGTGTCACTGCGTACCTAGAAAAGGCAAAATTTTTCCTTTGTCATGATCTTACTCCTATGGAGCGTAGAATGGGGTCTCTATTCTCACGTAAACCCACTGCTTCTCAGTCTAATGCTCCCCAACTCGGTCATAATACAAGTGGCCGTAAGGATTCAGCTTCTCCTACTCCTGCGACATCTGACTCCTTCCTTCCTCTTTCTCCTACGTCTCCATCTCACTCAATCCACTTGACGCATTTGCCTGTCCCTAAACTAGCTGCTGCAGCAGCAGCAGCAGCCCCATTTGTCGTTTCGTATCCTCCGGGTAGTCCCGCTGAGACACATGAAAATCCGTCTACATCAGCTGGACCGATAACTTCTATTGTCCAACTGGGTGCTGTAAGGTCTACAGTTAAGTCACCCGTGGCTTGGCGTCAGAACGGTGAGACTCGAAAATTTAATCAGACTCCAACCCAAAAGATAGGTAGTACAGTTCCATTTAGGAATACGCCGCCTTTTCTTAGATCTACCAAACCTTCACAACCCAGCACATCTACAAACCCCGCAACTCCGATTATCTTCTCAAATAATTCTCTATCCTGCGTACCGGTTACTTATCCAAGCCCTACTATATATCCTGCAAATAATTCATACATGAATTGCACTAAATCATTTATGCCCCAACCTAGTTCAGTCTTCCCACCACTTAAGGCCAATTGCTCTCAGGTAAGTCAACCTATCTCCTTTGACTTCCAACCTAGACCTCGTGTCCCATCCTTTTATTCTTATGCCGGTCTACCCTCACCCACCAGCCTCTACCTTCCTTCCAGGCTGCCTCCTCCACAACTTAACTTCCAACAAACCTATTCCTTTTCTAACTCCCCTAGCATTCCAATGCTCGAAAGCTATATCCCACATCCTTTAGGTCTCATGCCAAACATTCTCTTGCTGATTTCCCGTACGTCAATAACTCTAGACTAGCTGGTACTTATTCTCCAAGCATCATTAATTCGCAGCTTACATATCCGCCTCCAATTTTTTCTTCTAAATACCGTCGACAATAGCCTTGCTGTTCGAAACACATTTGATATTATATTATTGAATTCCAGGTCTGTTATAAACAAGATGGCCCAAATCAGAGCCATTTCTCTCGATTTGACGCCTGATATTATATGTGTAACAGAATCTTGGATCCATTCTCTAATTCCTGATTCTGCTGTTCTTATAGATGACTTCGATTTTTCCCG